TGCTCAAATAGAAAAAGTAAACATAAAAAGGCTCCTTTCTGGCCATTCCCCTTCATCTCCCTGCAGCCCATCCACAACATCCCCAGGGAAGTCTTAGGGTCTCTATTGCTGAGAAGAGACACCGTGACCACAGCAACTCTTACAAAGGAAAACATTTAACTGGGGCTGGCTCAGTTTCAGAGGTTCAGTCCATTATCATCATGGCGTGACATCATGCAGACAGACATGGTGCTGGAGAAGTAGCTGAAAGTCCTACATCTTGCAAGCAACAGGAAACGGACTATGACACTGAGCGCAGCTTAAACAAAAAAAGAGACCTCAAAGCCCATCCTCACCATGATACACTTCCTTCAACAAGGTCTCCCCTACTTCAACAAAGCCACGCCTCCCAACAGTGCCACTCCCTATGAACTTATGGGGGTCATTATATTCAAACTTCCACAGCTGGTCACAGCATAAAGGTGCTCTGAGCTACTAATATGCAAAGGGAAGCACCCAGCAAGGAGATAAACTTCTGTGTGCGAGCGAAGGTTCCAGGGAAAGCAAGCTTCGGAACTGACGGATCTTAGGCTGGCTCTGTTGTCCGCCTCTGCTATTTGCTGCTGCTCACTCACTCCATTCTGGATAGTGATGGGACGGGGTGGGGGGGGCTGCCAAGGGAAGGACAGCATAGTTTTGGGTCCTCTCTAAGAGGCAGATGAGCCTTTCCCCAGAAATATCTGGGAACATCTCCAGTGTCATCCCACGCCAGCGTGAGGGCATGGAGCTCCAGTGCTCCACACCCGATTTTCCCGCTGCCCCACAGGACACGGACTCTACACAGCATGGTCTGGTAACTGTATAGCTCTATGAGGTTAGTTTTCCCACTAACATGACCACTGCTGGGGAGGCTGCACTGCTCAGTGAATAAATACACTCGGAAGGAACAATTTTCTGTCACACTACAGGTCTTATTTGGCTGGGGCCAGGCATCATCTAACTATTGCCCAGTCATCTGCTTTTGTGAATAATTCTAATGAGAATATTGCCATTTGTCTATAGACTTTCAAGTTCCAGGTGCAGAGTTGAGTAGTTGTGACAGAGACATGTAATTTGTCATGTTGGAAGCCTTACTGTCTGGATCTTTATAGAAGTGCTTCCTAACCTCAAGCTCACTACCACCAACTGCAGTAGAACAATACCAGTGATGCAACCACTATGCCACTGTAATAGCCACACTTCTGCTGTCTAACATGCATCAGACGTCTTAACCTCACTTCCTGTGGGAGTGATAAGGGGCCTATTTTAGCTCGCAGTCCATCACAGCAAATAAGTCAGTGGCTGGCAGGAGCCTGAGGGAGTTGGTCCCTTGGCATCCATAATCAGGACAAAGAACAACGAATCATTCATGCCAATACCCAGCTTCCTTTCTCTAATCTCATACAGTTCAGAATGACCTGGCTAGGTGACAGGGCAGCCCACAGTGGGCAGGTCTTCCTGCCTCAGGTAATGTAATCAAGATAATACCCTTGTACTGCCCACAGCCCAGCCTAATCTAGACATTCACTAAGACTCTCTTCCAGGGGCCCGTGGAGTGTGTCCCCTGGGAAGAGTTATATTGTTTTACAAATATTTATTTGTTTGTTTATTATGTATAAAATGTTCTATCTGCATGTATGGCTGGACACCAGAAGAGGGCACTAGATCTCATTACAAAGGCGTGGTTGCTGGGACTTGAACTCAGGACCTCTGGAAGAGCAGCCAGTGCTCTTAACCTCTGAGCCATCTCTCCAGCCATACATATTATATTTTTTAATATTTGTCTCTCTTGCTAGTTTTAAGTTCCTGGAGGGCAGTAAAGAGTGATTTGCTTTATTCTTTGCTGATACCATCTTCCCAGCCCTTTTTAAAAGGCCTGGTGATCTCAAGTGCTACCACCCTTTGGGAGGGAGTCATGCCCATACAGTGTCTCCTTCTAGAGGATGTAGACATAAGCTCAGGGTGTCATAGGTGGCAGAATCAGGGGGAGACTGAGGCACTCGGCATGAACCACTAAATCTGGAACCCAGAGTGTTCCCCATGGACAGGGTTAGGTTACCCACGAACCCATGCTGGGCTCATCTACACAGTCCAAAGTTTGTGACTTCACTAAATAGCCGAATACCAGCCTGCATCCATGTTCAGAGGTAGTGTGACAATTTCCCAAGGGAAGAAAGCATAGGCAGTTATGTGGGATAGGTCTAAAAATAGTTCCCTGATTCTCTTCTTAGGTCTCCCAAAAGAAGAGATAACAGAGTCCCCAAAATAAAACCTGGAAAAATAGTACAATAAACAGAAATTATTTATGCAGGGGATCTAGATCCCATTTTAATCTTTACGTCAATGTCTTTCCTCCCTCATCATGCAATCTAAGAGAAACATCAAAACAGCTGGACAGGAATTAAATTACACTAGTCCCTTGATTTTCTCGTGTGGTTATAATAACATAAATAAACAGGGGCTGGAGAGATGGCTCAGTGGTCAAGAGCACTGGCTGCTCTTCCAGAGGTCCTGGGTTCAGTTCTCAACACCCACGTGGCAGCTCACAGCTGTCTGCAATGCCAGTTCCAGGGGCTATGATGCCCTCTTCTGGCCTCTGAGAGCACTGTAGACACATGGTTCACAGAGATCCACACAGGGATCCATGAAGGCAAACATTTATACTCATAAAGCAATAAGTAATAAATAAGTAAACAAAGAATATGGTAAATAAAAAAGAAACAGCAAAGGGATATGCTTTAATCCAACATTCAAGTTTTTGATGAGCAGTGTTGAAAAGACACAGACTACCAGGTCCAACAAAGCAACCTCAGCTACAATATCTGAGTCCCATTACATTCTCTGCTAATTAACTCAATGTTGCATCAGAGCCACAGGCCAGCAGAGGACAGGGTTCCAGTCAAGTTGGAGCCTGTGTTAAACAGCTAGGAATGCTTCAAATGCCAGGAAAAGGAAAAGCCAAGCAACATATTAAAATGTCTCCCTTGGAAATAGTATGCACTTAAAGCAAAAAGCGAATAGGCTGTGGGGCTCTTGGTGCCAGCATTTTTTTTCTACATGAATGGTAACTGAGAAAGTAATCCAAACTCAGGCAAGCTTGTACTGCAAGAGGGGAGAAGAGAAACAGGGATTGGTTTGCTTTATTCATGCAAATTAGGAGCATACTGCCTTCTTTGGAGACAGTCAGTGTCTGTCAGAGAACAGGTGATTGTCACCCAGTAATAAAAACCACTTCACTTTTTCAGGGTCTCAATTCTGTTTGCTTTTCTCCTTATCCTTCTATTTTCTTTAAACATTATTTTGCTATGTGGCTCATGATATGAACTAGAGAAAAAAAACAGTCAACAGCATTGTAGCATAAACATTTTTCTAAAAAACTGATTTAGAATACAATAAAAACCATGAGGCCAGTTCTCTCAGAACTTTTCTTCTTGGAACGGAATGTCTTCTGTGAGCAGCAGATATTTAACAGTAAATTGTAGGTGTCAAGGATGGCCCAAGTGGCAGAAGCCTAGCCTCCAGTCCGCACGACAGAGGAAGCAGACGTCACAGCTGCACAGCTGTTCCAAATAAAGCATCTTGGGCTTTGGGAGAATCCCCAAAGCAGGAACAGACAGTCTGACTGGCCTGAGCCCTTCCACCTGAGCCAGGGCCACAAAACCTAGGAAGACTTTGTTCTCCCTCTGAGTAGGGCATATAACCCACAAGGGTCTGCGCCTGAAAGGTATCTATGTCACTTCAACACAGGGACACAGGGAGGGGGACAAGCAGACAGGCTTGCTGTGACCATTGGTTCACACTCTACCTGCCCTGTCCAATCGCAGCTCTCTCTGACTACCCAGCACCTCGACAGGAAGCCATGGGGTTATCATCTACACAGTGTCTTTGTCCTCTGAAGATCCTTATGCCCTGTAAAATTTACTTTAAATACATCTACTCCATTAATCTACCTTTGTGATAGGGGCCTGAGTCAGGAACCCAGTGGGGGTGAGAACATATGTCCCATATGTCCCATCTTGTACAGTAGTCTCAACAGTCTTTTTTCTTTGTTCTATCAACACCAATTCCAGAAAAATACTTGAAGAAAAAGAATTCAGCAGAGACACAAACATATTCATCAAACACTTCATTAGGACATGCCTTAAAGCAATAGCAAGCGAGGTAAACCTAGTTATATTCTCAGCTGAAGCGAAATAAGGGGGCGATTAAGTCAGCATTAAGTTTATCGACCAAGTAAAACAGTCCCCATTTACCACAAATTAAAATCCTGGATATTACGTAGTGTGTACACCGTTAGACATCGTGGAGGCTGCAGATCGGGTAAGACGCACTCAACTACAAGTGGTAAGCAACTTGTTCCCATGGACAAGCAAGGCCCCACGTGCAGGTGCAGAACCCAGGCACTCCATCCCATCTGAGGATGCTTCTGCTGCCGGATCCGCTGATGGACGGTTCTTCCCTCCCATGCCCTCTGCTCTGAGGTCCTTTGCCCTCTGCTCGGATGTGCTTGTTTCTCGCCCTCCAGGAGCTTCGTCTACTGCTGCTAACCACACACATCCCTGTGCTCTGGACCCCCGGGCAGCTCTGTTCTCCCCTTTCACAAAGTGTTCTACACCCTGCAGAGAAACTGCTCTACCCTTGTTGTAATTTCCTTGATTGTTTTGTTTGCCTGTGAAGTCCCCAGAGATGCATAATGAGAAATAAATATGTGATTTTGAACAAATTAATCAGGGAATTTAAAGGCTCTTGAGAGCAAGGTCATTCTTTTTACTTTGAATCTGCAATACAAAATCATAGAGCTGGCAAACAGTAGGGTATCAGTGATTTTTTTTCTCTATACAAATGGATAAATGTATGTATGTATGTATGTACACACACACACACACAAATTACACCATCACACACGGACAGCTAGCTGAATGCAGCCTCACACTGCCTTCCTTCCAGGAAGCATCCTTCTGGGAAGGATGGCCAGAACTTACCCAAGTCAAACTGGCCAGAGATGTAGCCACAAGTCTGCCGGACTTCCTCACTGTCCCAGCCCAGGGGGTAGAGGGCACAGCCAGCGCCAATCAACAAGCCTGTGAAAGCAGAAAACAGGAAGGCTTCACAAATCAAAATTAGAGCATGAGAAGGTCACGGTACCTACTCTTTGAAAACACCACATTAAATACCTTTGAGCAATCACAAGTCAGTTAGATTCCAAGAACAATATGGAGTCTGCTTAAAATAATAGTAAAAACAGTAACAACTCAGTTTGTTCGAACTTTGCCTTTTAAATGCTCCAAAACCCTTGGGAATCCTGTTAAGGATGTAAAATCTTTTAATCACACTTGCAAAAGCCAACCAGTTCCATTAATCCCATGGAGGACTAATTCCAGAGCAAGCAATGTTGCTTTGGAGTTTCTGTGTGCAATATGAGAATCAACACAGACTGTTGCAGTCGTGTGAAGAAACAAGAGGACCATCCCTTGGGCCTGCGAACTGCACTGTCTGCCCTCTTTCTGCTGTGACTCACCCAGCATCCACATAGCTCAGAATATTCTAGAAGGCAGGCACATGGAAGTCTAAACCCTATTCACATACATGTAAGACCAAAATGCTTGAGAATTAGATAGAAGAAAGCAGTCATGGAAGCAGATGGTGCTAACTGCTTGTCATGAGTCTTTACTTTTACGTGTGGGTTTACAAGCACCTGAAAGGGTGTCAGAGGTCCACCACTGGATTCCGGCAGCTAATCTGAAAGTAAGATATGGTCACACCAATCAGTGGGCGTGTCATTATCACTCACAACGCAAATATGCTGAGACCGTAGCACCAAACAGTGCCACTGTCTGATGGGTGAGAATGTCAGTTATCAGACACCAAGTAAGCAGCCCCACATGGGAGCAGCCTTCAATACAGTAACACGGATGAGAAATGCCGTAACAGGAGACCTTGGTCACCAATACATTGAATCCTGTGTGGAGACCTAGCCTTTGTCCCAATTCACATCCCAATGAGCAGCACTGGGTGAAATCGTATTTCTCTGTCACCCAGGGCAGAACTGGCCATGCCCTCCCCCAAACACTGTGACAACCATTCCCTGCCTTGGTACCTCTCCTCTCAACCTGTCCCCTGTTCTACAGGAAAATGCCATCAGAGGGTCTGATCTGAGAGCTCAGGACCCTCAGTACAAATCACTGACTACAGTAGGGCCGGCCTGTCTACAGTGCAGTAATGGGAGCCATGTTCTGGCTGGGACACCATCCACAAAGCAGTAAGGCAAGGTTTGCTGAGCAGGCCAGTGCCCACTGGTCAGCTTCCTCAGGCTTTCCCACTGGGGAAGTTGTTTTTCTGAGCTAGTTTCCCCCACCACTAGGTAAAGAGATAATTAATGAGGATGTCAAAATTTGTGCAAATTGAATCCCATACATATTAAACAATCAATGCAAGAGCATTATATGAGACTTAGCTCTTAATAGGTAACACCCATTTTTGAGATTTTGTTAGTAATTTTTAAAGGGTAGCAAATATGGAAGTGTTTGGAATAGAATTTGTTCAACTGCCAAATTTAAAAGAAAATGATAACACGTAAGCCATCTATATTTTCCCTGTCTAGTTTGGGGAGAAAGTGCCTTCTTGGTCCTGTTGTACACAAGCCAGATTTGGGTACTGAACAGGAAGGAGCTAAAACGTGCTTAGTTACACATGTAAGAAGGAGAGCAGCAGCTCCCCAAAGAACAAAACACTTGGGAATCAGTTCCCTTGCAAAATCCGGGACTAGCTTCATGAAACCATGAAAAAATAGTATCAGCCACGTAAATTAGCAAGAATTTTATACACAGGAAACTTACCATTGTGTGTGTCAGTTTTAGGTAAATGCTCTGTCCTAAGCTGCATTCCAGTTCTGTGCACGAAGTTTAGAAAGCAGCTATGAACACATTGCTCACATCTAAAATCTAGTTATTCTGTGGAGCTCACTAGTTCATGTGAACCTTTACATTAATATCTCTGTAGACTGTGTTTTGTCATCTGCTACTGTCTGCTCACAGGGAGGACACTGTAGATGCTAAAGATGTTGAGAAACATTTCTAGAAGACAAGTGTACCGCACCTTTGGGCTAACTGGTAGTCACGTGTTTTAGTGTGTAGGTGAACACCAATGGTCAGTATATGTCTGCATTAGCAGGTGAGAATCAACAAAGTCAGGAAACCAGTTCTACTTCAAGTGAAGGATCCTGGCAACTCCATCAAGTAGTCACACTATTAGTATTTCAACACTTAAACACAGCAAGTATCAGACTGCAGACTCAGAAAAGTTTAGGTCATATCAGGTCACACTTATCTCCTATTCAATGGGAATGTTACTGAATTGGGGGCTATAGCCTGTGGCCCAGGTCGGGTCCAGTCACCCATTCCCAATAAATCAATTAAAAGAGCCAGATTAATAGCGGAAAGAAGAAAAATGAGATTTATTCAATGTGGTCACCCTGAAAGAGGGAGAAAGATCTGGGGACTCACTCCCATCTTAGGCACCCCGAGGAAACACTGAAGTTTAAATAATAGGTCTTGGATGTGTACATCTAAGGGGTCCTGGTCAAGGTGTGGTCCTGCCCACTATTGACCCAATACTGCCTGGGCTTCAGTCTCATCCTGTGAGGTGGTAGGACAAGTTAGAACTGTATGACATCACTTTTTGGAAGACAGGTTCCTCCTCTGGTGGGGTCGTTTCCTCCTGCCAGCATGAGAATCCTGGGGGGAATTCCCATTTCTTTGGGGTGTGTTGAGTCCGTAGACTGAGAGCCACAAGGGTCCCTAGAATACCTTCACTTCTGCCTGTCCCGTCACAGAAGGGTGGGGTGGCAAGTAGTTGCCATACTGCACAGTACAAATAGTGACCATTTTCCTAGCATAAAAAATAAAAAATAAATAAACCTCTAGTGAAGAGTTCTGCTCTAGGCCTAAGTTTAAACTTCAGAAGAGTACGGGGCTCTCCAGACTCAAGCACAGGGCCTGGTACTGCTCTGTAATGATTAAAGTCACCCCTGCTCTTCAGTCTTCTTTCTCGGGTAAGGGTAGGAACTCGCAAGCTCTAAAATCTAGTCTTGCAACTGACCTGCTAGCCGGGGTTCTGTGTCATGGTGTGTCAGTGAGACACGTGTGTGGAGCTAAGACGATGAGACAGGGGTGACCTAGTGTCTGGCACTGGCAGCTGCAGTCAGACGCAGGCCTCTCTGCAGATGGAAGACTTGAGATCTGGGAGGGCCTTCCAGGCAGCCCCTCCGCATCACCTGGAGAAGGTGGTTGGACATTAGCTTCTTTGATATCGGGACCTCTAGTTTCTGGAATTCCTCAAACCAGCTTCTCTGACCTTCACTTCTCTAGGCCTTCCAAGGAGGCCTGCAAACTTTAAGTCTAGAGGCTTCCTCCTGACGGGACCTAGTGTGATCAGGTACCGAACTGGTCCATGCTCACCCGTGCAAGATGTATGATATGAATCTTTTCAAGTCTCTCTCAGACATATATGTGTACATATTTATTTATATATTCCATTTCTGTGGCATCCTCTCAGGCTAGGGGATTTATAGCCTCTCAGGAGTACAGGTTTCTGAGTGAATGCTTCAAATGCCAACTAACTAAACCTAAGGTGTAGATGGGAGTTGACTAGCATTTCATGGTCTCCACTGAATGTACCATATTGCAAAATAAAAGTCATTAAATGGGAAAATGAAAACATCTTTTTTAATGAAAGAACCCGCCCCCATCCTGTTGTAGCCCTGCCAAACCTCAGTGCACCGTGTAGAAGTGTTCTACCAGAGCACGATTTGGAAGTCCGTAACTTATTATCTCCATGGGCCTTAAAGTACATGCTGAAACGGAGGTCATAGAAGTTGAAGCATCTTCTCAAGCGGTATCTTAGTGACCCAGCGGGCCTTGATAATTCTGGTTGCTTCATTTGCTCATCAGGAATAAATGTTTCCAGAGAAACCCTAGCTTCAAACTTTAATATTATGTATAGAGAATTCCTTTATTATATTTATAGACCTTGTTACCACCCGGGCTTAATTTTAAATAAGTTCCTTTGCCACTACATCAAAAAAAAAATCATGAAGAGGCCACATTATCACACATTTTGAAAAAACTGTGCAGTCAGGGGGGAAAGTGAGGAAGGGTGCCATGGCGGGGGGGGGGGGGCAGCAACCTTCAGGATTTGCTAACAACAGGGATGGGATGCTGGGAAGGCGTGGGGGACAGTCTCACTTGGGATTACAAAAGAATCTATTTTTGAGGTCCTGGGGACTCGGCAACTTTTAAGAGGTCATGAGGAAGTCACAAATTATAAAGTAAGCGAATCTCTCCCATCATCATCACTGCAATCAGTGGGGGCAAGGCATCACCAATAAGGCCATTTTGTAGATTGTGGAGAGATGTTGCCTCCTAAAAAGAAGGAAGAAAGAAACTAGGCGACTCAGTAATTCTTCAGTGTTGCAAAATTCATTGTAATAACGTGTTGGTGATTAGGCCTTCCGTCATGACTTCCTAGGGATTGAAGCTCATCCTGTCCAAGAACAATTAAAATATCTGGAGAGCCACATCAGAGGACTGGTCTTCCTGAAGATGCCAATGTTAGTGGCAAGAGACCTCTGACAAATGCAAAGAGGTAGACACTCCAGAGTGGTGCTGTTAATGTTAAAAGGAAGTCTACTTTCAGGGCTGGGGAGATGACTCAGTGGGTAAATTGTTGTTCTTGCAGAGGGCCAGGATTTGGTTCCTAGCACCCACAGGGTGGGCCACAACTATGTGCACTCCAGTTCCAGGGGGCCTAATACCCTCTTCCAGCCTCTATGGGCACTATACACGCATGTAGGTAAAACACTCCTTCATATAGAATAAAAAAAAAACTTATAATAATGAAGACTTTAAAAGTCTACTGTTCAGCTCAGTGAGGCCCTCAGCATGGGTGGCTCCTCTGCCCACAAACCCCCACAGGAGACTTTCTAGCAGTTCCTTTTAGTGTCCCCAAAAGGTCAGCTATCCCTGCCACGATACCAATTATTTCTTAGAATTTGCGTGTGATGCCTAAACGTTACAGAGTTCAGAGGTTCAAGAACAGACCGGGGCTGGGAATTTTCCCTTCTGAAAAACTCTTTCTATTCAAACCCAGCACTGAACACTTGGCCAGCAGAGTATTAACATAACAATTCCACTCCTGCCAAGAAGGCAGAACAAACCTCGTCAGCCATTGCCAATTCCTCTCCCCAGGTGGGAGAGGGGGAGTCAGCTTGCTAAACTCATAAAGCCTTATTTTCTTTTCCAGACTACTCTTGAACGTTTTTTACGTGACCTCACTTCTTTTCCATGACCACGGAGCCTTTCTTTTTTTTCCACCATTTTTTTTAATAGCGTGACTTTTCCCACCTGTCACCCCTTTGGGGCCCACACCCGCCTTTCCCCCATCAATTCATCTTTTATGCTTTTTTGGATGCGTTCATCCTTCCTCCTGTCCCTTCATCTCCCTTTCCGTGGCAAGCGCCGAGGGAAAGTGTTGTCCTTACTGTTCTAAGGGAGGCTGCTCATTCTGATAGCCAGCAATCTGGACTTCCCTTCGGGAATGGGTTGGCAACCTCCCACCTCAAAGTCTCCACACGCTAGTGTGTGTAGGAGATACTCTCTGTTTCCACACCAGATAAGGGCTCCTTATAAAACAAACAGAATAAACAGTCATAGAGAGGAAGCACCAGCAAGTGTCAGTATTACGACTCTTTAGACGCCCCCAAAAATGCAGCTAAAAGCAAATTATATATTGTATAACGAGGAGAGCCGGTTAGCTTCCAGTAGGCTGTGTTCCGGGTCCTGAAGTGAGACGGAAGCGTAAATGGAGGGCTACATACATGTACACGCAAGTGGCCACGGTAACGTGTGGTCCCAGCCACCATGGATCCACCATCATCTATGACAAGTCGTTGGAGCTGCGTGACATCTCTTTCTGGGAGAAAAGTCCCTCCCCCCTTTAGTTTCTCTCAGTATGATTCCTTTGGTGTCTGTGGTTTCAATAGTTGTATGGAAAGACTAAGAGACACAAATGCCTTTTTGGAATATCTTACTTCTGCCTGGCCAGTTATGTTTTCATTCCTTAGGTTAATGCTCAAACTCCATCCTGAAAACACCTGCTCTTTCGGTCTAGAAATGTGAGCTTTCGGCCTCCCCAGGCCACACAGCAGTGAGCTACATATTAAATATTAAGTCACTGTAGTATTGTTATTTGGCACTTTCAGAAGCCTTTGGAGATTATGTAACAGCTCATAATTAACACAAAAGCTTATCAAAGTAGGCCTGTATTTTCTAAGTGTCCTGAGGCATTTCCAGGAGACACATCCAGCGTTCCGAGTATTGAGCGAGTGCTCGCAACCTCTGTCTTCCAGAGCCCCGCAAAGAGCCAAGTGCTCTCTGACCCCTCCTCTACATCCTTGTGAACCTGAGACAGCTGGCTGCCTGCCATCAAAGACCAGGGACAGGCCCTCTGAAACCTGCTAATCCTCGCTTTGTTGGGTCCCAGTGACCCCAGCATGAGTGCTGGGACACAGAGAGTCTCTGACCAGAGAGAGCACCTGCAGGCATCACGGTGCCCAGCAAGCTCCTTGTCATCACCAGGAACAGCTCAGCGCTGCAATACACAGAGAGACATGGCCATCTCTGCACTGACAATGGTACTTTATGGGATCATAGGCAGGCTCTTTTCTCTGTTTAATCATCCTGCAGATGACTTGGGGGTTTTCTTAAAACATTTTTTCAAAACGGCCCGTCAATCCTCGTTTCTTTTGCTTTTCCAGCTCATGTGACAGAAGACACAAAAGACAGATGCAGTGTGTTAGCACCAGAATGCCTTCTTAGCTCACAGCGAAACCTCACAAGCTAATTTCAGCCATGAGTGGCTTGTCATCTTTTCTCTTCCTAGGGTCCTAGGCAATAGCTGTTTCAGATAATGATATCCCACCACTTGCCTGTGACAGCTCTCAGGCAAATGTGTCTGCATAAAGACACTGTCTTCCTGGCCCAGTGGCTCAAAGCTCGTCAGCCCCTTCGCTGCACAGTTTCTCCTCGTCTGTAAAGTGAGGGAAATACCTTCTCCTTGGGTTTCTGCAAGGACTAAGGGAGATGATGTTTGTGAAGAGGTAGCATAGCACTTGATATCAAGAGTCAGTGAGTGGTCTTAATTGGAAGCCTTCAGTCTGGTGCTGCAGACAGGAGAGGGTGGGGAATATGTTTTTGTATGTGTTGGCAGGATATTGATGGTGTCCTTTTCTCTCAAAGAAGACTCTCTTCCTTGGTGGGAAAAGAGGGAGGGCCCTAGCAAGAATATTCCTACAACTGCGAGCATTGAACACTTGCCCTAGACTGGCACACATACCTCAGTGAGTGCAAATGAAATTCATAGTCTGACAGCCCCTCCCCTGGGAGCAGAGGATGAGCACCTGATGCTCGTCCTTTTTGCTTATTTTTTTCTGGCTACTGTTTACTTTTAGAGGCACCGTGTGTATGGGCTGAGGAAAGTCGGAACTGATGGAGAGACGCAGGTCAAGCCCTCTATGTGCCACCTGCTACAGGGACAACTGATGCTGGGGGATGTCCTTCTGTACACTGCGAATAGATGCTTCCTTTATTGGTTGATGAATGAAGCTGTTTCGGCCAATGGACAGGCAGGATGTAGCCAGACAGGAAATATAGGTGGGGCTATCAGACTAGGAGAGGGCTGGGAAGAGAAAGGCAGAGAGTGAGTCGGGGAGAGAAGCCATGTAGCTACCGGGAAGACAGGATGCCTGGGCATTCTCTGGTAAGTCAAGACCACATGGAGATTCTTAGATTGGTAGAGATGGGTTAATCATTAAGAGAGAGCTAGATCCTTCGTTAGCAGCTTATAGGTGTTGATGAGTTTAAAGTGAGCACACAAGCAAAAGTATAATATCATCAAAAGAAGAAATACTTTATTGCTTGCTCTTGTCTTCACTATAGATACATTTTCTAGATGCAATCAGAGGTCTGCAGCTAGGAATTATTACATACCATCTAACATGGTGTCACTGAAAGTTTTCAGCACTTAAAAATATTGGAAGAAATGCATGGCTAGTGTCTGCCAGCTGACCATGTGGTTCTTAGTTAACCTATTTGCTTATGGCTTACCTACCCATTTTGCCATTTCTCTATGGATCTGGAAATCCAAATCTTTTGGGTGTAGGTTGGAAGAATTAGAGTATCTGCTACAGTAAGTATCAGGCTTCACTAATATATTTCATGTAATCTCTCATACTCCATCCTCTTGCAGTATGCAAAATGTTTGTCATTATCCATACCCTATCTTTGACCCTTTGACCTAAAAGGTGCTGAAACTGGGACTTACAAATTTGGAAGTGATTTGTGCACAACTCTCAAGCAAGGACACTTCTAACCTTTTCACATTTCTCAAACAACTGTCCTGAAAACTAAAATAGAAACAGCTTACTTTGGCTCTCTGACCCAGAAATATCAGTGGGAGCCTCATGGGATATTTCAGAAAGTCCAGAATGACAGCAGAGCCCAGCATAGCTGCCCACTTTTAAGTTATTCTCCCTTAAGGGTCCCTGCTGTTGTATGCAAAATGAATTATTCTTAAAATAATTAAAAAACAATGAAAGCAAACAAACAAAAAAACCCATTACTACCACCACCGCCAGCAACAGCAACAACAAAAAACTCAAACAACTATCATGATTAGACATTCAAGTTTTGAAAAAAACAGGGCTAGACTTCAACAACATTCTTTCAGAAACTAAGCAAAAACAAAAGCTGAACTCTTAAGTACACTTCAAACTCTGGGCTCACTCTCTTCTTTCTTGGAAAATGCAGATTTGATTCCAACAACATTCCCTTCAGTGTGTGCCCGGCCTCAGAATCTCTTCCAGTGGAAAACTGTTGGGACAAAGGCTTCAGAGCCTGACAACCTTGTATTCAAAATATTTGGTCTGCTGACTACTCAATGCTAGCTGAGCAAATCTTAAACTTGAGCTCTAGAAGTGTCTTCACAGAGTCACTAGGAGGGCTAAACAAACTGTCTAAAGACCCAGCAGAGCAGAGTGTAAGGTATATAGTTCCCAGCTCATGAGGTTCTGAAAAAGTGGAAATAACTCTGCACTGTGAACACTGATTTCTGTTTGTAAAGCAGTATTTACATGAAAGAGAAATGCACCACCTCAGGGTGCGTTGTTTTATAGGACAGGTTTGCAAAATGCTGGGATTCAAGGGCAGATAATTCCATGTGTCTGGCCTCACAGACAGTACAGCCCAGCATCCTGACACAGAATGCTTTCCCAGCCCCCTCCTAGCCTGAGAAGCATCCAGATCTTTGCTTTGATTCCCGATAAACAACTCGTTCAGTTTCCCTCACCAGGGACCTCCTCTGAGCGTGGGAAGCAGCCTCACTCTTGTCTGATGCACTCATCGTGAATCTTCCCAGGATCGCTGGGCGAGCTGACACCAGGGACCTCGGTGGTGGGGTCAAGGGCCAATCAGTGCATAGACTGAAACTGGAGAACAGGTTCTTGTCACTGCCTCTTGCAAGAACTGGGGCAGATTTATGAGTTGTGTCCTGTTTGAATGGAAATAGACATAAGACCTAGAAGCTCCGATTCTAAGCTGAACATGCACAGTGTCTTGTCTTGATAATACACAGAGGACTCATGGACCCTGTGCCCTCTGGGAAGGGCTGGCTGGCTGGCTTGGGAACCAGTGGGATTTGAGTAATCAAGTTCCCTGGGAAGAAAAGAGAAGTGGGCGAGGTTGTGTACCTCAAAGAGGACCTGCAATACACACTATTGCATCAACTATTATCTAAGGGTGAGTGAAGAAGGGACATGGCCAGATTTTACCTCAAGGATATCCTGAGCTGGAAGCTTATGGTATAGGGAGGGCAGCTAGCTTTGGAGTCTGAGGGGCGGGTGTGACCAGAATCTATCTCAGGCCTGTCAATGCCTTGAGCCTCAGGATTCCTCTTAAGGCCAGTGTGACTAAGGCTGCCTGGACCACTCGGAGCTGCTATAGCATCAGAACAATGTAATTGCCCGGCACATTACAGATGCACCAGGGCTGGTTGCCCATCATATTTGCTCAGGGCAAGGGAGGCGGAGCATCTCTTAGAGTAAGCCTTCGGGGAGAGGACCAACAACAAGTGGGAGAAAGCATCTCCCCTTTCAGGGTCTTGTGCTTTCAGCGATGGTGACGGAACCCTGGGCCTTGTGGATGCCACACAGTGTTTTGCCAATGTCCTCTCTCCAGTCTTGATATCCCAACAGCATGAAATCACCAAAGACGGCAGAAGAATAGGTAGAGACACCTACTAAAGGAGTGGCAGACCCCTGGGATGCCCACTTGAGTTTTTCCAGTGGTCTGACCTCAACGTCAGGAGCTGGATTCAGTTCTGACGTGATGTTGAGTCTGAAGAGCAGAACTCGCTCCTCACTAACAAACAGAACCTGCCCATCAAGTGCCAAGATGCTACGGCCCCAAATTCTTCATCAGGCCCATTTTCTCTACCAAGTAAGTAATTAAGTGATAGGGGATGTTCTTCGGTATCTGTGTTTCTCTTATTGGTTGATGAATAAAACACTGATTGGCCAGCAGCCAGGCAGGAAGTATAGGCGGGGTTACCAGACGAGGAGAATGCTGGGTAGAGGAGAGAGAGAGAAGCCGCCAAAGGGAGAGACCAGGAAGATAGAGCGCACTGAGGGTTCTCTGGTAAGGTAAGGCTTTGTGGAAAAACATAGATTAATAGTTATTATGGGTTAATAATTAAGAGAGTTAGCCAATAAGGAGCCTGAGCCATCAGCCAAACATTTTATAATTAATATGTCTTTGTGTGTTTATTTAGGGCAAAGTGGCTGTGGAACCAGGCAGGACCGAAACTATGTCTACAATTAAGGGTAGGGAAAAAAACTCAAACACAGCAGGTAGAAACAGCTAACAAATTTTATTAAATAATACTCATGACTTCATAAACTATGTAAGACATTTATAACAAATTCCAACTTAAAATATACAATTGTCAGTATCTCTATAAACCATCGTTTTCACCACTGAAATATTAGAAAATCTGAACAACCCATAACATTACTGATGTGTGCCATCAGAAAGGCACACAGAGGCAACACAATCAGACACACACACACTCACACACACGCACACTCACATACTCACACACTCACACTCACACACACACTCACACACACTCACACACACGCATACACACACACTGACTTTATGGGATTTCTAAAAGTAAGAGCCCCATCTGTCTTTCTTCAGGTCCTTTAAAAATACCTTCATTCCACCAAAACACAGCTCAGCCATCTGGAAGAGCTGAGAGACAGCAACTGGGAAGAAATTTCTTTCTGGACCTCTATGTTGATTTTCCTTTCTATTTTCTTTCCCTCCTGAAATGTCAAGAATAACTGGAGCTCTCTCCTTTTCCATCTGTGATTTCGCAATCAGTCCCACGTAAGTTTTGAAAGGTATCAGAGAATTTTTTTCCACTGGGTTCAACTTTTAAAACTTTAACAGATTTTTTTTCTTAGCTAACACACTGTCTTTACTGATTTTAAACATATTTTATACATATTAGTGTCTCTCTCAAGTAGATTCCAGTGAGGAACAAAAAAATATTTTTTAAAACCTATAGCAATGAAACTGCTCATAATGTTAAAAACATTATCCTAAGTAGCATATTCAAATAATAGTAGAAACATACTTTAAAACAAATAAAGGCTGCAATTGTATTGGAGAGCTGGAAGAAGGTATAACCAGAACCAACCCTTTAAAAATATTTTTCTTTTAATTTTATTTCTGTCCACATACATTCATATATATATGCATACCTGGTGCCTTTGGAGGCCAGGAGAGGCACCAGATCTCCTGGAACTGGAGATACAGAGGGTTGTGAGCCATCACATCTGTGCTGGGAACTGAACTCAGGTCCTCTGCAAGAGCAGCAGGTGCTCTTAGCTGCTGAGCCATCTCTCCAGCCCCAGAATCAACATCCCAAATATCTAAATATGAATCACACACATACACGACATTCACACACACACACACACACACACACACACACAACATTCACACATAACATATACATATATCGAAGAGGGAAGAGACAGTTCATTTTCAACAAGAATAAATGTCTATCAATAAGCAGATTTCCTGGAAAAAGGAAAGAGGCCCCACACTGGAAGGCCACACAACCAAACAGAGCAAGCAGCAGATAGCCTAGGTCTCACCTTATTGACTTCATTTTCTTAGTCACTATTATATGGGCTTGTGTCTAAATGTAGACACATCCTAAAATATTGAGGATTAGAACCACAACAAATACATTTTGGGGGTGCACAGTGCAGTCCATGACAGCCCACAGTTTGGGGATTAAATTCTCAAATGCAAGAGCTAAAAGGAATCCTCAAATGGTCCTTTTTAACATTTGCCACCAAAATATTCCTAAAGAAAAAGAGAATGGACCACTTATTTATCTTTTATCTACTGGAAAATCGTCATGCAAATTTCTATCTTACACAACAGAAAATCTATTTTAATATATAAAAATACCTTGCCCCAAATGTGAAATTTGAAACCCCAGTGAGGTATTTTAGGTTCATCTTGTACCTTCCTGTAAATGAAACACCACCCCTGTCTTTCCATGATTACATATGCTATGTATGCTTGGCGTTAGTAAAAGGAAGCTATGCTTCAGCCTGAAGAGATTACATGACAGTCTCAAATCATAGGCAGCCAAAAACAGCAGCAGCAGCAGCAACAACAAAATACATCAGAAGCAGAAAGAACTCATATTCTTTGACAAAAGCTTGTGTTTTGTAATGCCACAGTATCACAGAGTAAAGTCTGACATAGCTATGTGGCTGGCACAGGCCACGTCACATTTAAAGAGGCTGGAGTCACACATGGCTAGCCCGAAGACCCAGACATCCTTGTGGACATACAGCTGTCCAGCCAGCACCCCACTGCATTTGACTGCAGAGAGAGCCTTCTCCCAGACACGGCAAAGTGGCTCGGTCTAGGCTTCCTCCAGGGGAGTTGTTCCCAGTGGTACATCCCTAGCTCATTCATGAGCGGGCAGCAGCACCTGAGAGAAATGGCCCTGCCTGAGTGGAACCCAGCAGCTGTTAATCAAAGGCTGTACGAGAGAGACACGTACTGCTCAGGGCTTCACGGGAGGCAGAGAGAGAGAGGCTGTTGCAGCGTGTTTATCTCCCTTTCTCTGCTGTTTCTGGCAGTGATATTCCAGTCAAGCAGGCTGAGTCAAAACAATTTTCTAAAAATATGGATCAGCCGAGACCACTTAAAGTCCCGTTTTAAGGAGTTATTGTTAGGACTCCCCTTTGGGATGTTTTGTGGAGTCCTTCCCAGACCCTCCTCCTCCTCCTCCTCTTCCTCCAGAATCTAAGAATATGCATGATACCATTCTTTCTTCCTGCCTCCCCATGACTGATAAGTAAGTCTGCGTTTTTTCCTCGGGATCTTGAACAGTGCCCCTAGGGGCTCCATCGCTGGATGAACAGGGTAAAGAGCCCCAGTGAGATTCTACTGAGGAGTAACTGGTTTTGTTGGCAGACCTGCCTGCTGCCACCCAGTGAACTCACTTCACTCTTCTCTTCTAAGAACGAGTTTCGCACTCCCTCAATTTTCATGAAAGGTGGGGTAGACTCTACAGGGTGAGCTGTATGTCACAGCCCTATATGAATGTTAGACGGTAGAGTTCAGGGGATGTACCCCAGCGGTAGAGTGCTTGCCTAGCATTTATGAGGCCCTGAGTTTGGTCCTCAGCTCTCAATCTATTTCTCTTCTCACCAAGAGGAAGAAGAACAGAGTTCTATGGCTTGGTGTTGCTCCATCAGTAGGACCGGGGATGGTGTTTGAAGAGCACACATTGGTTGGAATGGGGGGGTTGCTGGATGGGTGGAGGAAGGAAATAGAGTTGCCTTAGGTATCATTTTGTTAAATGACATCATACAGGAGGAAGATGAGCCCCTAGTGCAGCATGAACAAGGTCCCCATACTGAAGTAGCCACGTGATAAGGCTGAGACAGAGGGAGATGACAGAGGAAGATGGAGGTAGTTCAAAGTCATGCCTAGGAAAGAAGCCAGAAGAAACACATCTCAGCTCTGCAGAGTCATGTCCTCTTCCAACCCCCTTTTGAAGACTTTGTGACTCCAGAATGACAAAGGAATTAATTTCCATTGTTTTGGGCCACATAGCTGGTAATCCTGCCTTACTGAAGGCTTGGGAAATTTAAGACACTAGCTTGAAAATACTCTCTTCACTCATTGCTTAACACCTTTCTTTTCTTAGGTGAGACGTTAATACAGTAAATTGAGAGATAAAAGAGAAAACAGTTTTCTAGGTTTACTAAATCCTGTTCCTCACCACCTACCCCTTAAACAAACACCCACAGCAAAGAGGCATACATGAAATCTCCAGTTTCTCTAAGCTCAGTTCAAAGAGGTGGCTTGTCCTCAAATGCCACAGAGCACTAAATCTCTGTAACACCAGGTCAAAGAGGGAAGGTCGAGCTGGGATGTTCATCTTGATCAGCTCACAGCAGCATAATTTACACCCGAGGCACTGCTAACCATGCGTGCCCAACATGAGATGTAAACTGCGTAGCCATAATTTATATCTAAGGGGCTCTTTTCTCCAAAGAGCTTGAAGAAATTGACAGACCTTTACTCAATTAATCCTTGCAAGCCATCCATGGTGGAGGGGAAGTAAGGTCATACGCCCCTCTTTCTTCTGGGACCTCAAGGTTTGGCCATTTGCTCTCCTCTTTATTCTTGTTTTCAGGATTGGTGTGTTTCCCCTTTCTCAATACAGATTTTCATTTGCGAAGTTGGTTTTCACATTTCCATTGAACTGTTCCTGGGAGTTCTTGGTTGGTAGAAGAAGACTATCTCCATCTATTCCTCTTTTGGGGACATTAGGGTTTCTACAGACAGTCCCTGTGCACTTTGAAATGCCATTAAAATGATTTTAAGGTAGAGGCAGCCTGCCAGTGTCTCAGGAGAGGCTGCATACATATCCAGCCACTCTTAGGTTAGCCTTCAAACACATCCCATTGGTTGCCCTCCAGCAACTGTGTTGACGAAACCAGTGGTGAAGAAATAGAAGAGAGGACTCTGGTCCCAGCCCAAGGATGCTGGGAAACAGGGAGCTCTCTGGCTCTGAGCTGGGAGGCTGTCCCTTGCCTTCCCTCAACAGCGAGGACCTGTACCAAGAAGGTGCTTGTCCTGCCTCAGGCTTAGGGCTCTGTGTCACAGGCAGAGCAAGAAGCACTTTGGTGGTGGCTGGCTTGCCTTTGGGATGACTCTGAGGGGCTGACATATCTCACCAGGCTTGGAACGCTAAATAGCACTAACTCACCATCCTAAGCACTTTTCGGTGATTGACTTTACCAAGAACCATGGTACCCTGGTACAGAAAAACACTTGTGTTGTGTTGTGCTGTGGTATTGGTGGTGATACTGAGCATCAAACTCAGGACCTCAAACATGCAGGAAGGCCTCTTATCAGCTGAGCCCCTACCCTCCAGTCCCATCATTCTTACAGTCATCTAACATGTCCATGTCCAGCCAAACCTCCAATCCAATAATGGCTACAGGAACTCAATTTTTTACAACCCTGTGGTTACTCAGAAACTAGAAGAATTTCAACAATGGCCTTTCGAAATTTCAACACAAAGAAGTTTTTGTAAGCAAAAGGAATTTAACACTCAATCTGATTTATTCTATTTGTATTAAAATTAAAGATTTATGTATTATTTGTGGCTGTCCTGTTCACATTGACATTACAGAAACAATAATCTAAAATTCTTTATATTTATGTATATATGTGTGTATGTATTCATTTATCTTCAAAATGGCCTGAAAAATTAAGGAAAATTAAGTTTAGCTTCTCTTGTTAAACACCAGGCTTGAAACAAGCAAGAGAAGAAAAACTTAATTACCATTTACTACAAGAAGAAAGTGATTATTAGCAAAGTGACAAAGCCGGGAGGGTGACCAAGTCACTGTAAACTGTTATCAAAAACCCATGCAGGCAGCAAAACTGGGAACGCAGAGCAGGAATTCCCAACTCATTTTCTCGTGAAAGAAAGAACAGGAATATCTGAGTGTCTATTATTCTGTGAAGAAAGCAAAGAAACCGGAAGGCACAATTGTTGCCACCGATAGTGCCCAATGCATCTAGTGCATTTTGATCCAAGTATAAATAAATGAATTATGGATCCAAGAAAGCAAATCCATGGTGAGGCAGACATTACTAATAGCTACATTTGAAGTAAAGGACAGCAGTGGGTCTAAAAGCATGATACCTTTTAGCACTTTCTATTAACTTGTAATAATAATAATAATAATAATAAATAATTGAGTTAAATCAAATGTGAATTCTCAGAATGTATACATTTTTGGTGTTTTAGTCATATCAACCAAGGGTCACAATTTCAATATCTTTGTGTGATTAGTGACCACCATGCTGGACACTGCAGACATGGAACACACCCATCACTTACAGTGCTCCTGGTGGCACCCTGTTCAGACTTCTCAGGTCACCATAGGCATGGCTGGTGCTGGGTATAGCTTCTCATATCTCCTAGCACTGCAGCACCTGCCAACATCTCTAGCTGTTTACCCTAAACTTTCCTCCTTTCTCTTCACTACTGTGCATCGATTTCAACTCTATTTAAGCTTAACCACTACAGAGATAAACATAGAGGATTACAGAAAACGGTCATTTCAACGTACACTTGATATGTAGAAAGCTGACCACTAGTCCTCACTCGTGGGCTCTTCGAGAGGATGTGGATAACATGAATTCTTCACTGAATTCCGTCTCACCACTGTGCTGAGTATACTCACACGTACCCACAGCAGATACGCTGAGCAGTCTAGTGAAGCAATTGCAAAGGCTGCCCCCCCCAATCCTTAACTTTACAGCATTCACTTGGGGGTTTGGAAATGTGTACCCAGCCGGCAGGTCACTTACTTGAGGCCTCTCCAGTGAGTAACATAGAGAATAGAGGCCAGGCAGGAAGAGGGCAAGTACCAATTGTTTGTCCCACCTTTCTTAGGAGAATTCACTCTCTTCATGTAAGAGGGGAAACACTTCAGCTTCATGATGACGCCAGTGAGGGGATCAACAGAGACAAAGATGGCTTCACTGCCCCTTTTGGTTGGGTTCAGTGAGGTGTGGAGAGAGGTCAGTTGTCCATGTTTATCTGCTCTCTCTGGGAGTGATTAGCAGGTTGGTGCTGAAGCAGAAAGGCAGCCATATGAAGGTCTACGAGCTTTGGTGCGTTGCATGCTGAGCTTTCTCAGGTCTGTGAATGTTGTTGCATTATCTGCTGAGCCTTCTCCTTCAGTTACCATGAGCATCTCTGCTCAGCCGTTCTCACATATTCCCAGCTCGTTGAGACGGTCACCACCAGAAGCCATCAGTCTATTCCATTTGTGTATCATTTGGCTAACTGAACAATTGACCCAACTAGTGAAGTGAGGAATTCAACATGCTAGGGCTACATGATTTATATCCACAACATCCAGTCTCTTACTGTTAATTTGAAGTACATTGAGGGGTAGTAGCCTTTAAATTAAGGACTATCAGTCAATAAACCCAAGAAATACACTTTAAAATCAACCCAAAGCAATACATGAACTGAATAACAGACCACAGACTGCAAGTGTCTGAGCATTATATAGACTATCCAATCGGTAACTCCAACTGACTACTAAACTTTGGAAATACAATTATTCAAATTTGAATGAATTGAAATTCAAAGAATTCATATGGGGAAAGAATGTAAAATACAAAGTTACTCTTTTAAATCTTAATTACAGGTTAAAATGACATTCTTAATATATTGGGTTACCAAATATTATTACAGTTCATTTCATTTTTCTCTTTGCTTTTTTAAATATAGCAGCTAGGGAATCTTAAATATTATGTGTAGCCCACAAGATTCTATTGACAAACTGGTAAGCACTAGGATTAGCTTGTCTGTAATACAAAGGCCCTTGAAAATGCTGACTCTTGAAAAGCCACCCCAAAACTGACCTGCAATGAGGGCAAAAGGATCCTTTGGCAACAAAAGCAAAAGCGTACTTGAAACAGAAGAAGGCATCATAAATATCTCTGCTACAGAGAGCTCTACAAAGACCTAGCCAGCACCCAAAGCTGCAATATCAAAAAGAAATAAAGCGCAGATCTCAAAATCCCTGCCTTGTCTTTTGAACTGGCTGTGAGGGAGCAGCTCACAGCCTGCAGAGGTTATGACTGACTCCCACAGCACTCAAATCCTCGCTTTGATTTTTCCCTTGATCAAAGATGGTAATGAAAACCAGTGAGCCCAAGGCCCTAGGAAGGAATTCCCCAGCATGATATACAAAGGCCCAGAGAGATAGCAAGATAATTTAATAACCACGTCAAGAGTTTTCAGACTAGCCTTTAAATCTTCAGTTATTGAACAATAAGGGAAAATAGCTACCAACACATTGTCTGAGAAACAGCTTTTCTCAAGTGGCAATTCAAGTCACCAGAGAGCTACGCAATGAAGCCACTGGCCAGGCTTGCCCAGGGAATATCCAAGCAGCCCCTCCCTCTCTTCCTCTATTTCCTTATCTATATATAGACAGGAAGTCAATATCTGTCCTTTGGAATCCTTTCAAATCTCTCCAAGCTCAGAGATACCCATTAGTTCTGTGATACCAAGTCTGATCTATGTGACACTGTGCATATACCAGCTGGTTTAAATTTTCTTGCAACCAGTAGTTCTCAAGCCACTACACTATAAAGGACACCAGACTAGGGTAAAAAGGTCTCAGCCAGAGACACGCTCAGAGCATCCACAGCAAGCACTTTTCTGTCTACATATCAATCAAGAGCAACAATGAGGCTTTATTGGAAAGTCATGTTTTGTTAACTAGCATGATGATTGCCAAGCCAGGATCTCATTAGGTAGTATTTACAATTCGCAAAATATATGCATGAATAAAATGCTAGATATACCCCACCATTGTCCATAGGTGTAAAGATCCAGCAAGGACTGTGCCCTATACTTCTTGGAGAAACTGTATTGGTGCTTGATTCCCAGAGTTGGATCTGGGCCCAGCCATGGGTTTGGGATGCTTTCTGGTTTTCATTGCCAAGTCGAAGACTTGGACTCCTGCCTGGCCAATGCTGCTGCTTTTTGCCTCAACTGAACTTCTTACAAGGCAAGGTTGCCGTACCTACAAGTACAGATAGCCTTTACATAACTTGACAAGCTGCTAAGTTCTGGTCTGTGCTTGCTACGGTACAGGCTGCTATTAAATAAGCATGGGATAGAATTTGTTTGAGATGTGAATGTTTTCGGGTCCGGTGGCCAGCAGATGGCTTTCTCCTAACTCCTTCTCCTGAAGTTAGTCTCCAGTGTTGTGCAAGACCAGGCAGGGGCTTAGGCCAGTGAGCCACAGCTCCATTTTCCATTTGGATACAACAGCCAGCGCTTCCTCCATCCTCCGGGTGTATAATCCCTCCAGCGTCAAGGAGACCGGGACAGGCCCTCTCCATTCTCCCCCAGGTCGATTCTGATTGACTCTTTAGGTATCAGCTTATAGCACCAGCTCTTAAACTTCACCGTGTCTCTAAAACCTCGAGTTTCTGAAACCCCCACTGCCCAAGGCATGCTCCATTGAGATCCAGTTAGAACATCTGGAGGTGGGAGTCCAGCTTGAGGGTTCTTTCCTTTTTTAATGATTTCCTAGGGGCCGCCAGGATGGCTCAGTGGGTAAAGACGATTGCTAACGAGTCTGTTCATTTGAGATTGACCCCTGAAAACCACGTGCTGGAAGAGAACTGACTCCTGGAAGTTGACTCTGGATTCTACATGTGTGTGGGGGTCACACACACTCACACACACACACACACACACACACACACACACACACACACATGAATGAATGAATCCACAAATGTAAAAAAATCTGGGAGCCACCAACTTCATTGCCATTTTTTTTTATGACAAATACTTCACACACCACTCCCTGTATTTAGGTTTCTCGGTCCCCACAGAAGCCAGAAGAGGTTATCATATCCTCTGGAACTGAAACTAAGGATGGCTGTGGGCTGCCAAGCAGGCGCTGAGAAGTGAACTCTGGTCCACCAAAGAGCAGCCAGTGTTCTCAACTGTCTCACCAGCCCCCCCCCAGAATTTAACTTCACCCTCAGGAAATCCTGAACTTTATGCACTACTTGCCCAAGGCAGTGGCCTTTTGCCTCCCCGAGGCAGCGAGCAGATTCACCTACAACACAGAAAGAAATAGCTCCAGTTTTGAGTTGACTGCCGTCTTTGTTTGCTTCCTGTCAAGTGTCTGAGATGGTGTTTGAATGATCAGTCTAATGAATGACACCTCTGTCGGGAAAGACACATTTGTGCTCTTGGGAATGTTTACTCTCGTCCCATCCTTCCTTTCCACTCAGATCCCTGCCCGTGTAAGCATTTTCAGAACTGTGTGTCCTATCCACCGTGCCCGCATCCGGCCTGAGTAGAAAGCTTTGGAGTGTGAACCCAGGCTGAAGAAGGCAAAGGCTGTGAGCATGCTACCTGCATTGAGGCAGTCACACCAACAGCCAGACCAAAGGGAGCTCGGAACGTCTGCTACAAAGAGGTGCAGCAAACTAAGCTCCCAGGCTACAACGGAGAGACAATGAGTAGTCCGGAGAGCTCCAGGGTGAACGAATGCCTGAGGTAAAGACACTAATGAAGGACAGGCAAGATTAGTCTGAGCTGCTGGAGGGCAGCAACAGCCCTTCTCTCTAGAAGAAAGCTGACTTAACGGCTGGGCTCACACTATTAAAACAAAGGAAGGGATCTGTCTGATTTTTGCCAATGGGTGACATTACAGTAGCCTCGTGGGTGTGACTGACATAGATTTATTACTTTGTGTGGTGACTGAGTGAATGGAGCTACAATAAGTGATTCACGCTGCATTTGCTCCAGCTCAGCCTTACGCCTTCCAAGGCACGCGGGACAGACTGCTGTTCCCAGCCAGGATCCGAAGCTGTCTGGTTGGACGCCTTTCCTTTTCAGTCAAGAATGCACTGTCTGGAGAACTTGTGCCCCAGAAGAATGGAGATGTGGGGTTTGTGCACAGGGAATACTTCCTAAAAGTTGTTGTTTTTTCAAGTGAAATTTCAAGCTCTAACTTACAGAATTGTTATTGTCCTCTTTTGCAATTTAGCAAGTGTTAGCAATTCCCTTTGGGCGATCTCTGCTTAACAGCTGGCTACATTTCTTAATTTTACCAAACTCCTCAAACATTTTAAACTGTACTGACATTTACTGTTTAATTTCCTAACCTCCTCAGTTGCTTCAATCAATTCAAACAAACCCCATTATAAAAAGAAATAATTCTTATAAATACAACAAATTAAAGTTCAAAAACAGTCGGCCTTAGGTTCTCAAATGCTTACATGTTGTTTATGAATATATTAAGTGTCAACTTCTAATGTAGTGTGCATATGATCAAAGCATATTATATAGACACATGAAAATGTCATAATGAGACTCGTTATTTTGTATGACTAATGAATGCTTTAAGAAAAACCTCTCCATAATTTTATTTAAATTGGAAAATGCTTTTACTGAAAAGGCTGCTGGGGTCTAGCTCTACCATTGGCAAGGACAAGTGCTGGAGACTTCTATCAGTCCCCACATGAAAATCAACAAGTTTCTTTTTAATTCGACTGAAAAGTCCATGTCTGAATTTGTCAGGTACCCACTTACAAATCAATCACAACCCTCAGCGAAGATGCTCAAAACGTAGGATGCCATGAGATTAATTCATATGAAAGCATTTGATCAACTGGGATAAATTCTGAAGTGTCTTTACTTTAATCTTCCACTGTTATAGAAGTGAATGAGCCATCTTTAAACATTTGCGATCAGACAAGTGTCTGGGGCTGTCGTTTGCTGGAGGGGCTGGGCACCAGCAGGAGATCTGAGCATCCAGGGGAATTCAGAGATTAGAAGTGACTCTCACTAGTGTCATCAGCATCACGGGTACCGTTGCCCCCGTCGCTGGATCAGCACAGCTCCCAGGGCTTCCACATAGAGTGGTCTTGATCCACAGGCTGCCTGACTAACTTGCTTCCAAGTAGAATTCTGCAGCCCGCAGGACACTCATGCTGTTTCCCTTCACTGCATGGCTTGCGTTTATTTGCATATAATTGCGATACACAGGCATTACCATTGGATCTCAGAGACTCCTCCCTTTCCTACTGACCAAGGAGCTGAGGATTTCCCCGATGTGTCCATGCTGTTGTAGGCCCTCTGCCTGAGAGGGGTCCTGAACACTAATGCTTCCCGACCATGTTCCTCCACTAACCCCTTGCTCTGGCCACATCCCTGTGTGACGGTCACCCTGATGCTGGCTGGGGCGTTTACTAACAGCAAGCAGTTTTCCATTTTGCAAACTTTTAGCTGTGAATATCTTCACTAGCTTTTCTTGACCTCCAGATAAAGTGCCAAATGAACCAAAGGGCACAAAGGTCAGAAATTGAAAACTGGGAGAATTGGGCCATGTCACCAAAACTTGGCATTTGCTAAAGAAAATGGCATTAGAAGATACCCACTGAGTAGAGGATCCAGGACACAAATGGGAGGCAGATGTGATGCTCTCTGAAAGCAAGCTCCTCCACGTAACAAGTGTTTGCATAAACGCTGCTTTACTTTCATATCCGCCACGGAACTACAGACACAGCATACACGTACATCTGTCCTGGCCCGCGACAAACGCATGGCTGACAAGCCTTTCTTTAGGAACTCGTTACAAAGTTGATTTATTTATTTGACAGTTAATAGGTGTTTAATTAAAAAAAAAAAAAACCAAGAGCTAACATCAGATGAGCAGCATTTTCCCCTAGGAAGGAACTGAGAGCTCCAGGTGGCCAGCGCCTGTCTGGGACACATAGTCACTGCTCAGCCCTCCACTGTCCTCCCTCTCCACAGCAGGGTGGCCTAAGAGGACTGCAGTGACTACTCGATGATCTTAATTAAAAATGAGAAACACACATCTATAAAAACACCACAAACATTTGAATAAAGGATTCCATTATGTTAAGAAATCGCCAGACAAAGTAATGGCCTGAGTGCATAAATTACAATTGCTATTTTGTTTGTGACACTATCTTGGTGGTCTAGCTTATTAGGCATTAGCTAAATGTGTTAAAGCAGACAGAAGCCTTGCCCTGTATAGCTCAAAGGCAGGGTAATTATTCTATAGTAATGAAGATATCCTCTTCACTTTCCAAAAAAAAAGTCACAAAGTTCCTGGTATAATAACTTTAATTAAGTACAATTCATTTAATCCTTAGCCAGACCTTCCAAGATTGCTGTGTGCACACAGCCAATTATGAATATACAGAGACATCCCCACTCCCATTACAGGAAACTAAAATACTAATAAATAATTCATCTCCTTCAAATCTGGACCATTCTATCTTAGGTATGGTGCTTTACTCCATTTTTACCAAACCACACAATACACTTCTCTTTCTTTTCTCAGAAAAAGGGAAGAGGGAATGCTGGAGAAATGGCTGGATGGTTAAATGCTCTTGATGCTCTTGTAGCAACGGGCTGTGAACTGCCATGTGGGTGCTGGGAACTGTATCCCAGTCTTTTGTAAGAGCAAAAAATGCTTGAACCACAGAACCATCGCTCCAGCCCCCATTTAGGGAAATTTTAATAGTAATGAGATGGCAAGACATTTGTATTCTTAGTATTTTTGTTTAACTGGCTAAGCTGGTCACCTATAAGAAAAATGAAAAATTTCCCCTTGTTTTTCTGTGTTCTATCCAAGGCTGGAGAATGTCTTGTAAGAAGCCCTCACAACATGGAAGGAGTGGCCTGCTATTCATCGTACATAGTGAGATAGCAGCTACCACAGAGGTCAAGTTGAAATGCACTAAGATACGATGAAAAAATAATTCAATAATGTCCAAAGATATTCGACCAGGTTCCATAGGGCTTATTATTTTTGTTCAGGGCACAATAATTCTGTGCTACAACTTGCTTAGCATGAAATGCCTGAGAAGTACTTAAAAAGTTTTAATTTCAGCTAAAAATTCTTAAAAGAATGGATAGCCCCTAGAAGTCATTGCTCAGGTACTAAGTTATATAAACAATACTTACGTGTTAGAATTTTCTATCTGGGTTACACAGCACATTTTGGATAACAAGGACATCGTCTGAAGGGGGAAATAAAAGCGTTCTAACTGTGATTTAAGGGGAGGGGGGTGTAAGAGAGCCAAGAACAAAAACTCTTTCACAACAGCTCAAAAATCCAGAGACCAAATTTATTCATTCATTTGGCTCTCAGAGGCAACTGCTTTGTCCTTGCAGTATTATGCAAGCCCACTTTAAAAAAAAAAAAAAAAAGAAGCAGGACACAGAGGACTGAAAATTCTATTCCTATTGCCATGGTGAAAACATGGCAGCTAAGATTGCAAGTCCCTTCGCCCACGCCCCACACAAGGAGGGTGGTCTCCTGTCGTTTACAATCCCACCACTGAACTTGAAAACAATATTAGAAGCTAGAGATGAGCCCCACCGTCTAGGATCGAAAAAGATACTTCAAATACCAACCCAGGAGCTAGAAAGCTGATCACGAGAGGAGAGGAATTCAGGGGTAGGGGCTAGAAAGCAGATCACGAGAGGAGAGGAATTCAGGGACAGGAGCTAGAAAGCAGATCACGAGAGGAGAGGAATTCAGGGGTAGGAGCTAGAAAGCAGATCACGAGAGGAGAGAAATTCAGGGGTAGGGGTGTGTGTGTGTGTGTGTGTGTGTGTGAGATGGAACACATGCTTTTGGCATAAAAGCAGAAGGGGGCCTATGGGGGATGGTGAACAGGCCAGAGGGGGATGAAAGGGGCATGGGAGAGGGCAGTGGGTGAGGGGACTCAGATCAGAGCAAAGGATAGTGACTCATAGGCATCAAAATGTCACGGTGTGACCCAACATTTTGTATGATAACTTCAAAAAGAAATATTTTTAAAATCCAAACATTATTTCATAGAATTAGTACCTTTTTCTCTTTATCCAATCGACAAGGATATAAAGATAACAAAAGATCACAGAGACAGATAGAAAATTTCCAGGACCCCTCCCCCACACTTTAGTCAGGCTCACAATAGCTATTTCCCACATCTTGGGAAGCATTGGCTCCTTGCAGCAGAATCTAACCAGAAAATTTCTCTGCAAAACCACCAAAGGACACCCCACAGAGACAATCAGTCAGTCTTCCATGGCTACCAGGGGCTTTCCGAAAGCGAAGCCTATGACAATGTTAACATTTCATTACTTCCCTTACAAAGGGCTGTTAAGATCGGGAAAGCACTGCCACTTCCCGAGTTTTACAGAGGAAGAAACAACGGCACACATCTACAACTTCCTGGTGGCTCAGCTCAATGACTTGTTTCCCAAACAACATTCTACACTATGAGAAATTATGAGTAAAACCACCGCAGGCAGGTGAGCATGTAGGAGAAACTGCTACCAGCCTACCCAAGCCACAGCCGCCCTGCCCAGGTGTCCAGGCCAGCCCTCATGATCATGCATGACAGTACTTCCTCCCTGAGCCAAGCCTGCCTCTATGCCCAGAGACTGCTGAGAGAGACACCTGACCCAGAGACACCAATGAGGAAAGGACAATGCAGCCCTCTGAGCCAATGGGAGGGGGTATAAAGGCAGGCTTAACTTCCTTAATAAACAAGTCTGCAGCATGCTATGTTACTCACTGACTCCCAGTGCCTGAGTACTGAGTCTTGGTGCTGCAACTTCTCACCCCCTCCCCCAAGGAGTGTCCGAGCAGGGTCACCAGCAACATGAGGATGTCTGTCAGACATTTTGAATGGAGAGTTGAATTTGCAGCCTATGATGTAGCAGCAGGAGACAATGCGTGAGTAGTCTGATTATAACCTGGGATGAGTAGTTTTTCTAACTAAAACACATTTTAGCTTCAGCTAAGTAGAATTTCAACGTCCCAAATGGCTACTGCAGACTTACTGGAGTTATTTTTATCTCTGTTGCCCTGGAAATTTTTATAAGTGGAGAAATGGAATCAGTATGAGGCCTTGCAAGATCGTTGTTTTAATGTTCAAGATATTTGCATTCACTAGAATGTAAAGATGTTCTTGGTTCTTCTACAACACCTGTGAGGAATCTAGAGGAACCTAACCAGCCATGGAGGGTGTTCCTGAGACTGATTCCAAAATAGTGATACATTCAGACATGGTTCATAGGACTCCAGTTGCCAGATTGCACCTCTAGGGTTTAGTGACATCCTGTGCCTGCCGTTGGACGAGGGGTGATGGCAGAGCAGAGAGTTTAAATTTCTGTCCCCGGGGACTCAGGAAGGAGACCACAACCAGTGGGGCTGTGAACTAGGAAACAATCTATATTCCAGCAGCCATTGTTTTCTCAAAAATGGCCGACACACAATTCAATTTCATCTTTAAAGATGCCAGAACTGTTTCCCAGCTATTCTTCAGTCTGATGAGG